CAGAAATGGAAGCCATGCCACAATTAGAATCTGTGTACGTTTTTTGTGGTAATCAATCTTATCATGAACAATGGGCCAACAAAGTATCGAAGATCAAAGGCGTATATACAAAAATCGAACCAATTTGTAAAGCCCTAGAAATTGATCGACAACGATGTGATCAAGCTATGATCTCGGTTAGTTTTAATGGTCTCGATCCTCTGTTCATGTATACACAATTGTTAAAGGAAGCACTATTAGAGATTGAAGATGACGATAGAAAATCTCTCAAAGACCTGGCTGAATATTGTCGTGAACAGGATGATATTCTTGAAGATCAAATTAAACAAGTTGAAAATGAATATCGTAATCATACGCCAATATGGTGGTATACAGCCCAGACTTTTATATATCCTATGCTTAATCGTGGTCTTCGAGTCATGAATGTCGATATCATAATGAAACTGGGGTTTTTCATCCGACATTTACACAATCATATTACGGAATTACATCGTGAACAAGAAAACAACATGCCAAAACATTTTCAAGTCTTTCGGGGACAAGGTTTGTCCTTGGAAGATTTTGAAAAAATGAAAAAAACTAAAGGAGGACTTATGTCCTTCAATAATTTTCTATCAACAAGTCGCAATCGCAATATTTCACTGGAAAGCTTTGCACGACCAGCAACAAAGAAACCCAATTCGGTTGGAATTCTATTCATTATGAACATTGACACGACTATTTGCAAAAATTCATTAACACCATTTGCTGAAGTAAGCCAAGTTGGGTACTACAAAAATCAAGAAGAAGAAATACTTTTTGCGACACATACAATTTTCCGAATCGATCACATTGAACGAATTGAAGACAAAAATACTGATCGCTTATGGCAAGTTAATCTTGCTCTTGTGGGTAATCAAGATGATAACTTTAACAAACTCACAGTACATCTACGAGAAGAGGTCAAGAACTACACAGGATGGGATCGACTAGGTTTCATACTTTTAAAACTGGGTGAATACCCAAAATCAGAACAACTCTATCAGATTCTCCTCGTAAAGGCAACTTCCGATCAAGATAAGGCGGCATACAATCATCAACTTGGCTCGATATATGATAGTATGGGTGACTATTCACAAGCACTTTCATATTACGTAAAATCACTGGACATCGACAAGAATACTCTCTCTCTAAATGTTCCCAGTTTAGCTTCGAGCTACAACAACATCGGTATGGTGTATAATAAGATGGGCGAGTATTCGAAAGCACTTTCGTCGCATGAACGAGCACTTGAATGTCGAAAAATAGCTCTCCCTCCCAATCATCCAGACTTGGCTAGTTCCTACAACAACATCGGTGCGGTGTATTATAACATGGGCGAGTACTCGAAAGCACTTTCATCGTACGAACGATCACTTGAAATCAAAAAAATAGCTCTCCCTCCGAATCATCCCGACTTAGCCACTTCCTACAACAATATCGGTTTGGTGTATTATAACATGGGCGAGTACTCGAAAGCACTTTCATACTACGAAAAAGACCTGGAGATCACTCTGAAAGCTCTCCCGCCGAATCATCCCGACTTGGCTAAATCCTACAACAATATCGGTATGGTGTATGATAACATGGGCGAGTACTCGAAAGCACTTTCATATTACGAAAACGCACTACAAATCAAGAAGATTGCTCTTCCCCCAGGACATTCAAGTACTGCACTTACGGAAAGAAACATTGAACTTCTCAAACAGAAAATGTAATTGTTTTTTTCTTAAACAAGAAAATAAATTTGCCTTCTTGAACACGTTTGGCTTGCCGAACCGCACCAGCTGCAAAAATTTCGCGCACGCGCGACCAGGGATACCCTCCGTATTCTATTGGGTTGTACAGTGGACAAAACCGGCAATGACAAGACAAACATACATTTATGTATGTATGACTAGTACATCCATGGTCATCATCTTCGGAAAGACGATGACGAGATGGATGCTTCTAGTCATATATACATAGATGTATGTTATGAAGGCCTGCCATCTGTACGCCTGTACAGTTAACCAACAGAACGTCGGATATCCCTGGAAAGGTTCATTTTGTTTTAGAGCCACCCTCAAAAAAAAACCGTTTGTTTTAAATTTTTTTTTCTTCCGTTATGAAGAACGAGAAGAAAGACGACGTTGACGGAATTTTAATACACGCAGCGTATGATGACAACCGGTTGTTTTGACTCATGCTGTGATATTGAGTGCACGATATCTCTATTGTCTTTACACATGTTATGTTCAATTTATTTTTCTTTTCATCTGGAATGTGTAAGAACAAATTAGATGTCGTGCACTCAATATCATATTATACGAGTGATGATTGAACGAAAGAAGAACACAAAAAAAAATTATCGACTATTCTGTTTGATTAGTAACATACATATATATAAGAGATAATTGAAAGAAGAAAATGAAAAAGAAATTTTTATAAATTTAATGATTTTTGTTACTTATTACATAACGTTTTAGAAAAATACTATTTTACGATCATATTGATTGGATATAATATTAAACACAAGTTCAAATAGATCAAGTCCAGTAGTTGATTTTTTTTAAATAATAATTTACAGTCGAAATTATGGATCTAATATAAAGATTTGTAGAATAGTTTTTCGTTCATCGATTGATGAAAGTGAATATTCAATCGACGTTAGACTTTCCATCGACTATTAATTCATTTATTATGATTATCAAAAAATGTTTAAACTTATTTATTTAGCTTTAAAATAAATGAATTGAATATAAAATAAACAAAATAGATAAACTAAGTAAATCACTTGAAGTTTTAAAATTATTTTCAACAACAACATGTTATCGAAAGTTTTTTTTGATCTAGAGATAAAAGTGAAAATAATTTTAAATCAGTTACGACTATTGTAAAAGTATTATAAAAGAAATTCTTTTTTTTTAATAATTTTGTATGAATTATACAATAGGACTATAAAAGATAATCCTAATGTTGAATAAAAAGCATTCAAAGGTTTGTTTTATTTCAATTTCAATTAGATGTTCTATGGCGATTTGACGAATCAGCAATTGCAATACATTCGAAAAAGATTCAACCATTTTATCAGAATATTATGAACCTATTTTTTATATTCTTGGTTGATCAATTAATGATGAAAAAATTAAAGTAAGTAAAAAAGAAAATTCTTGTCATCTAAGAAACCTCTTCTAAAGAAGTAATCAGAAAAAAGTTATGCGATTGAATAGAAACATAGAAAATGATTGTAGAATAGGTAGTCTCATACTATTTGACGAAATACCGATTGAGAAACTGTTCATCAATTGTAGTAAGAATAATAAAATTTTATTTATCATTAAATATCAATGAAAAATGAAATAAATTAGTCATAGTTGATTCACTAACAATCGTTATAGTTAAAGTATGAAGTCGAGTGAGAATGAATTTTTCTTTTTTTTTCCTAATATTAATAATAAATTACTTTCAAGAACCTCTCATGTCCTATTCAGTCAATATGTTATCCTATGATTATAGCACGTTTTCTAATGATAAATGTAATTGGTAAGTTTTCTTTCAAATAATTATTTCAATTAATTATAATTTGTCTTTTATTTTAACGGATCAATTATTTGAGCATTATGATCAAAATCATAATAAAATTTTAATAATTGGTTATCTTAAATTAAATATCAAAAAATTTCAATCATCATCAAGAAAAAGTCAACGATCAATAACAAGAACTAGAAATATTGGTACAAATGAACAACATCTTTCAATCAGTATTTGATAAATAATGAATGATTTTATTTTCTATGTAAATCTTTATTTTTTTGATATGTTGATACGATATTTTATGTTTGTTTACAACATAAAAGATCATATTGTAATTTGAAATTCATTGGAAACACATGAAATTATATTTAAATTTATTTGATTTTGATCAATTATTAATTGCAATTCAAATTGGATCTATAGAAGTAATTTGTATTAGTCACACATTAAACACAGGTAAATATTGTGAAAAGAGAACAACAAGTTTTTATCTTTTCTAAAATAATAGATTATTCAACATATCAACGTTGATTTATAGAAATGAATAAACAACACGATATTTTAGTATATAAAATGAATGATGAATTATATTCAAAATCAATGATTAATAATGAAAAACAAACATCAGTTGCTAAACTTGTTAATCAATTATGTTTTTTTTCCCAATTAGACATTTGCTCAATGTGTTAATAATTTGATTATCCTACTGTAAGTATGTTTAATGCTTGTTTGAGACTTTTTTTTTGTAAAGTTTCAGTTCAGTAAAATACATTTATTTTATAATCTAAAATTATTTCCAATGTTGTAACAGTAGGAGGATTCAGATGAATAGGATAAATCTGATGAAGGAGCTTGTAACAGAGTTTAGTTAACGTGGCTTCAATTGGTTATGGTCTCTAAGTTTTAGTGAAAGTTATCTGATAGATATGAAGATTTTACTATTGAATTGTTGAAACAAAACGATATGAAATTTTAATCTTTTTGAAACCAACAAAAGACTAGAACATTATCAGACTCGAAAATATATCAAGTAAAACACTTTACTAAATAGGTTAGACATACAAAAGTTTTAGAGTCCAGAGGCTGCATTTATATATGTCAGAGATTGAAATTATACAATCACATAATTACCTCAAAAACAAAGTTTGAAGCTAAGGTACGAATTCTGTACATGTCTAGTACGAAAGATATGTTCAGTTTTTCATTATGATATGAAATCAATTGTATTCTCGAATGAGGTTTTCTTTAATTTTTGAAGTTTTCTGATTAAATAAAAATTTTGTAATTGATATGAAATTCTTATCTATATATGACTTGTAATGCATTAAAATCTATCGAACATCGAGGTAGACGATCTACATTTATGTGATACATATGCAAATTTCTTTCCTTGCTACATTAATTAAAAAGAACAATTCATCTTTTAACACTATTATCATTATCAAATTCATTTAATAATTCTTTTATTAATGAATATTCATTTGTATCAATTGATTCACAAGACAGTTCAAGGTTAGATTAGAATATTAAATCGTCTCTTGTTTTTGATAAAAATATTCTTTCTTTTTGTTTTTAAATATATTCAATTAGGTATATTAGCAGAATTACTTTCTACATTTCGATTATGTCTTTAGGATAATAATACACATGTTATACATTTACCATCATAGGAATTGAATTATTAGAAGATTATACTCAATATAGTACAAGTTCTTATATTCTTGCTAAAGTAGACAAATGAAACTTATGATTACAATAAACTGTTTATGTGTATAAAATAGGTTGTTCTAGCTCAAATTGTGCGTAATATTGATTTTCTCGAATACTAACTCATCTTGAACAACAACAATAACAGATAAAAAAAACCAGTAAATTAAAACTAATCATATATAGAAGATAAAAACAATATCTTGTTTTTTTTTGTTTTACTTTTATTTTTAGAATCGATCATGACTTGATCATTGTATTGACATTATCTTTCTATTTCTTACTGATAATGATACAAGTGTTCGTCCAGCAGCTACTTTAACTTTTGCTAAGTATGTTAATTGTAGAGATATTAGTTAACTAGATAGTTTTATTTTTAAAGTTGAATGCATCAGTCGATTTTATTGTATGAAGTTAGTTACTAGCTACTTTTTGATTTTAATGTTTATTGATCACAATTCATTTTTTTAGTATATCAATGGTCAATACATTATTTACCTAAATGGATCAATTCTTCCTGTCAATGGATGCATAAAATTCATTATTGATTACAAGAAACAAATACTTCTGTAATTATATTCTATGATGGAGTGCAATGTGAAATAATATCATGCTTACCAACATTAATATTTGATTGTTTAGCTCAAACATCCACTTGGATATAAATTGTTTGTTATTTTTGTCTTTTATATAAGTTGAATGTTTAGAAAGTATTTATGCTCTTTCAAATGTTTTAGGATCAACAACAATTCGATCATTTTTTTTTCATAATCAATATGATAAACTTTGTTTAGTTATACATCTATTTATATGAAATGATCTTAATAACTTAATATTTTGAAGTAAAGAGAAGAAAAGATATTGATTATGTTTCTTTGAATTCTTTCTTTTTATTTGAAAATTTATCAAATCTTAACAAATGAAAAAATGTTTTTAAAGTAGCACAAATGATTCAAGTTATTCAAAAATTGAATTATTTTATTAATGTTCTTGAAGTATTGCAAAAAACTTCACAATCATCATTTTTGTTGGGCAGAAGTTCATTTTCTATAATTGATATTTCAGCTTTCGTGGAAGAAAGGAGTTCTAAAGTTTTAGATTTGAAGAATGTATTGGATCATGTCTTGTCTGAACGATTTCATTTGTTTTTTCTTAGAGAATGATAAAGATTCATCAATAATATCAAACACAAATAAAGATACAAAAGTTAATCGTGAACAATTAGGTGCTTTGGGAAATAATTCATAAATGATGAAATTATTCGAATTAATACGTTCATTATATCAAATACATCAAAGTTTATTAAATTCATCTGAAAATGATCATTTTGAACGATTACTTTCAACAACTTTATTTTCTGTAAAATCAGTAGTAAGTCTTATTTCTACACAAGATTTATTAAAAAATTTGGAAGAAACACTTAATTATTTTAAATCAACGTTCAATCTACAAAAGAGGTAAAACTTCTTTTAAATAGTACATATTAGTTAGAAAATTTCAGTTATTAATCTTCTTCTACTAATCGGTTGAGCTAAAACCTTTAGGATGTCGTATTGGGTCTGAACCAGAGACTGGCTGGCAGGGCAAAAACGTTTATCCTATGCCAAAAAAATTAAAAAAAAGAGCTAATTATTTCATCTTCAATTCATTTTGATTGTCATTTCACAAATAATTTTGAATGAATTAAACCTTGTTTATGAAATGAAGTTGATTAGAAATGTAATCGAGGTTTTTTTTCTGCTACATGTCTTAAGAAATTTGAATATGAAATGATTACTTGCTCAAAAAATTAATGAATAAGGAAAAAACTACAAGAAAGAAGAATTGCGTTTCATTCAGAAGACCTAATTTTAATCGATGAAATTAGAAGATGGTCGATTTTTATCAAACACAAATCAAGAATAGAAGATCATATTTTATGTTAGAAGACCACGATGCACTTAAAAAATTTCATAAAACATAACAGAAGACATATGAGTTCTTTAAAATTATATGTCGAAAATTCTGCTGACTTTATGAAATTCAGCACATTAAAATTTTGTTTTTCAGCAATAACTTTATTTTTGAATTATAGTAAAGAATAAGTATAAATAAAAATAAATCTTTATATTTATAAAATGAACATAGATAAATTGTTTGTTTTTGAAAATTAAAGAATGAAGAAAAATTTGTTCTGTTATAGATAGATAGACAAATACATAGTATAACAACTGGATATGTGAAGTAATATTCTTTCTTGACATAAATATTACTTCGACATGTCATACTATTAGACAATCAAGTGAGTGCATGAAAAAAAGAATATATATGCAAAAAAAAACTTTTTGTGTAGTTCATATACATCTATGGTGTTTATTTTTGAAAAAATATAAAGAATTTACTGATGGTTTTTTTATAAATATAAAAATCGTACTTATATTTATTAAATAAAATAAACTGAAAAAAACGTGACCCTAGTAAAAAAAAACAAATATTGTTTTGCAATTAAAATTACTTTCTTCTTTTTTCTAGCACGGGATTTAGTGACTGAAAGCATCTGAGAATATCATTATTTTATTGAAGATTAAAATCTTGCAAGAGACATATTCAATTTATAAGTATTATTCTAATCTGTTGATGCCCTGCACCCTGTCCTTAGAGCAGCACAAGAAAAAAAATACTCCGTGACAGTCTCTGATCTGAAACTTGTCTGTGGACAGAATTTTAGATGGAAATTTTATTATTAAGATTTCAGGAAGGGTCTAACCTACAGAAAGAAAATTTCAATATAAAAATGTTACAGTAACAGAAAAACTGATTTTGTAAATATCGACGATTTTCATGAGAATGGTTTATTGTGAAAGTATCACATCTTTTCATTTGGTTCTCTCTTGATATTCGAATCTTAATCCAGTTAGTTGATGTGAGTGATCTGCAGGATATGTTATCAATTCGAAATTTGAAAATCATTTTTTTTTGTATTTACACAACATTCATTTCAAAATATTCTCTTAATTTAATTTTTATTAAATCTTTACTAACTAGAAATCGTTTCATTATCGCCTGCTGAAATAAAATTTTCAAATGTTTCTTCACAAATTACTAATAAATAATTCTTTAAATAATATTCATAAAATAACTATTCGACAACTGATTATTTATTTTATTTGGTTCACGTTATGCATCAAGTATCAATAGTGATCAATCCACAGAAAATAGTACAATACGAGAGTAAAATAAACAAAAAAAAACGAATTTGATCTATTCTCGTGTTTTTTTGTTTTGTATTTTAGTTTTTATTGGACTAAAAAATGAGTCTTAAAGAGGGTGTGGGTGTGAATTAGGGGTGGGATATTTACTTTACTTTTTAGTTACTTTACCAAAGTAAAGTAACTAAAATAGTTACTTAGTTACTAGTAAATAGTAACTACATAGTTACTTAGTTACTAGTAAAGAGTAACTACATAGTTACTTAGTTACTAGTAACTAAGTAACTACATATTTACTTAGTTACTAGTAACTAGTAACTACATAGTTACTTAGTTACTAGTAACTACTAACTACAGTAGTTACTTAGTTACTTGTAAATAGTAACTGCAGTAGTTAATTTATTGAGATGCACCGATTCTAATTCATAGAATAGGTCGGCATCGGTTTGAATCGCAATTGCAATTAATTAGAATCAGCAGTGAATACGAGTAGGCATATCACAATTCCTATCCATTATTAAGCTATTGGCATTGAAGAATGTCATTTTGCTATAGTTCTAAGCTTTTTGTTAAAGAAGAATTTTTCAGACAATAACAATTTGTGGTAAAATTTGACCAAAGATAATCGAAGTTGAGAAATCCGAACGTACAGTCAGATTTACAAAATTCGTTACCTGATTTTCTTAACTAAGAAATGGTTATTCAAAAAATTAACGATTTATATAAGGCTTTATCGAAGGTTATCAGGGTGCAGAAATCGCAATCTGCAATCCGATTCTCACAATTTTGAAGTTTGTTTCCTGGTCAGATAAACTTGTGCCATTTACCAATGCTTCAACTTCATAAAAACTGATAATTTTCTTAAAAACTCTTCCTTGCTGGAAAAAATTTAGTTTAGAATTTTGAAAATCTGATTGCCGATTCAGATTTTTCGACTGCAGTTACCTTCGGTATGACGTTTTCTAGACAGAAGAAGGATTAGTGGAAGTGAAATTACACTTTATTCGATTTCTTGATATCATAAACCGCATTTTCATACAAATGTTTCTAGGTTTTATGTGCTTAAGCATCAAAACTAAGCAAGTATCACCATATAACGGTGTGAATAATATACTATAGGATAAGAACAAAGTTTAGAGCAACAATAAAGTGCATCATAAGGACAAAGTGCGTGAGAAGGACAAAATATTAGGCAAGCCTAACCTGCATTGTCACATTCGGTTAAGCTTTATAGAAAGTTATTCTTTTCTCAACAAAAACCATTCTTTAGCGAAAAGTCTAACACTATAGCAAAATGAACACCCCCCAATGTAAGTGGCTTAGTAATGGATTAGAATAGTGACAGGCTCACCCCTAATCAATACCAATCCTGACCAATTCTAGACCAATATCTGACTAACTGCTAATCTATTCCAACCAATGCCAACCTATTCCTATAGTTTATATCAAATATTAAATGTAGTATGCAGCAAAGGTATAAGAATTCGGTAATAGTTTTGATCTAAGAAACTATTTGAAGCGATCTCTAATGAGAGCTGATCGATCTGACTTTAATAAGCCATCTACACTGAAAATAACATAAGGTAACACGCGAAACCGTGCAAGGGTTTCGGTTCTTGAAACAAAGCCAAAGTTTCTGTCAGGTTTCGTACAAACAAGGTTCCGTACAGATTCTTCTTCTTGTATTTCATATAAAAAGGTTCTGCAGCACGGTTCTCGTACTAGACTCAGTGTTCTACTAATACATTTACGCATGCAAATCTATCCGTTAATCATTGATTCCGAAATCTTCCCCTGGAATCGATCCTTCACTCCTATTCGTACACTGGAAAAAAATAGGTACCTTGTCGGCCCATTCTATTTCAAAAATCAAAACCTTTAAAAAGGCTTTGTATGAACCCAAGTTACCTTCAAAATGATTTTCAGCGCCCTAGGAATCTTTTTCAGAGGCACCGTCGATCTTCTACGAAGTCCAAAAAAGGTTCAGAATTCGTTTCAAAAATCGAAAACTTTTTTGGGTTTCATACTATGTGCGAAAATATTTTTTAGCCCCGCAGCATGTGCGAAACCTCTTTGGTTTAATGTTCATACCACTTTTTCCCCTGTAGATTTAACTCTCTTACTCATTTTTGAACCTTCTTTTTCTGAAGTTATTCCCTTCCATTTATGTATTCTTAACCCTTACTCCTAAACCTAATTCTCTTAATCCTTCCGTAGCAGCCTTTTTCTAAATTGTTTTGCTCTCCTGGTTGCTAAATCTATGTCCTCAAATCGATTGTTCATCCCTAATGTTGAATCTAAATCCGAAAATCTCTCCTTAAATGTCTAAATCTGCACCTTTAAATCCATACTTAACCTTCGCTGCTGACTTTAAATTGCTAAATCAATCGTTCACCACTGCTTTTTATATCAAACTTATTATTTCAGTATTGAAAGTTTCATATATGTATATTATTCCTTCAGATCGTGCGTAGGCCAAAATATCTACGTCTCTAAGTCCTTATTTTTACATTGAACAGTTTATTGCAAAATCCAAATCTTTACACATCTCCTCAACACCTGTTTTTGTGTACAGAGCAATAATTGTGTGCACAACCCGTTATTTAAGAATCTAAACTATTTTATTTATCCTAAAGCACTTCGTTATGTTTTATTTTTTATGACCATTATTAACACTGCATATCTATATTGTACTCCTTAAAGCAATCCTGAATTTCGTATTTTAATGTCTAACTGCTGACCTTGATTCTTCATACTTTACAAATAAACTTGAAACTGTGTGTCCATGGTAAATGTGTTACTCCTTAATTTGAAGTCTTGTTTGTATCTTCAAGCTGTCTTTTACTATTTTTAGTACCTTACCGCGTTGTATAATCTGTTTCATCTGTGCATAAAATTTCGTTCGAAAGCATAACACTAAAGTTTTGTACTAAGAAATACGAAAGTTGAACGGTGTCTTTTGATTTTAGTGGACGATTTTCGTGATACTGTAAATGAGTGAGTTGAGGAGTGAAGTGTGGTACGTCGAAGATACTGTTGCTGAACATGTCCTCCGGCTATAGTTGATCGAAGAAAGAAGTTGGAGTTCATGAGAAACGCCTTGACCATTATATGATTACAATTGATGTTTCGCGAAATCTTATCAATGGTAACAACTTTTTCATTGGCGAACCAGCAGCAAAATATTTGGTGTGATAATAGCTGGGAAAAATCGTGTTAGGGATCAATTTTTGTCAAACTATCGTTCATTTTGAATACTTTTGCTATGGCAACTGCCACACCCTACCATGCTGGGGACCCGCCGATGGAGTCTGAATGGACCTTGTTCTTTCTGATTTTGAAACCAATAGGAAAGCATAATATTCAAAAAATAGAGTATGAATCAAATATGCTTGAAAACATAAGGCTTTACCTAATCTTTCTTTTCTTAATTAAAAAACTATCTCACAGACGCTTTTAAATTCCATAAAAACCAAAAATGGACAAATAAATAATCAATGTTCACCTCAGCTCTAGAAAAAAATAGGTAAATCAACCGTATCTAAAGATGCTTCTATGCAAGAGCAAAAGTCACTTCTGGACTTAGTTTTTCTTTTTCCTGGCTCTCGATTAAAGGTTGGATCGAAAAGAACGGACGCACAGGAAAGTGTATAAGGAATAAAAATTTTTGGTATGGCAACCGCCATACCTTGTCACCATGGTGGCCCACCGATGAACTTTTTAAAGTTTTTCACGAAAACTCTTGACCAATTTATGTTTAGTGAATACTATATACGAAACCCTTGACAAGAAAAACACTCTTTTAAGGTTTTCATGAAACTTAGTTCATTCCGAAACCTCTTGAAAGTTCTGTAAAGTCGCACGATACTAAACCAGATTTGGTGAAATTCTACGGGACTTCGAAGGTCCAGTAGTGTACCCTTTTTTCAGTGCACATTGATGGAGTTCAACGTAAGTCACTGTGCCGATATATGCGTCACGGCTCGCCGCTCTTCTTCTTTCTTCTTTCTCTCTCTATTGTTCTCTCAGTGATGTCTCTCTCTTTGTTTCTCTATCATGTATAAGCGTGTGTTGAATGTGCAATAGACACATTCTAGAGATGTAAAGTAGCTAATAAACATCATTACCGAGGGTGGCAGTAAGCTACTCCTCTAGTCTGTCGTCTTGCCCCTCTTTTTATTTATCGTTAAAGTCACTTCATTAATTATTATATGAACACTATCAGACGAGTGAAACTAAAATCAATGAATACATAAATGCCATATTCATTTACTTACTAAAAAGTAATATTGAAGTAGTTACTAGTAACTAAGTAACTCGAGTAGTTACTTGAGAAAAGTAACTATAGCAGTTACTAGTTACTACTAACTAAGTAGTTATAGTAGTTAGTACCCATGTAAAAAAAAGTAGGCAAAAGCCAACTATTAAGTACTTTCAAAAGTAGATTTTGAACAGGAAAAAGTATTTGTAAGTGAACCTTTTTTAGTACTCTTCATACTTTTTGACTAAAAAGTACTATTGGAAGTGTGAAAAAGTGATAGAAGTCACTTAGAAAAGTAAAAAAAGTAATAAAAATTAGTTTATTTTTCTGTACTAATATTAATAGTATTTTATAGTATATTTTATTTAAGAAAATACTTTTGAGTACTTCTATTATCAACACAAAAAAATAAATTAAGTGTTATTACTTTTTTTCACTTTTCTAAGTGAATTCTTTCACTTTTTCACACTTTCAATAGTATTTTTTGGTCAAAAAGTATGAAAAGTATTTAAAAAGGTTCACCTACAAGTACTTTTTCTTATTTAAAATCTAGTTTTGAAGGTACTAAATAGTTGGTTTTTGCCTACTTTTTTTTACATGGGTAGTTACTAGTTACTAGTAACTAAGTAACTATGTAGTTACTTAGTTACCAGTAACTAAGTAAATATGTAGTTACTAGTTACTAGTAACTAAGTAAATATGTAGTTACTTAGTTACTGGTAACTAAGTAACTATGTAGTTACTATTTACCAGTAACTAAGTAAATATGTAGTTACTAGTTACTGGTAAATAAGTAACTACGGTAGTTACTTAGTTACTAGTAAAGTAAAGGTAAAGTCCCACCC